AAGAATACTAACAGTAATTCTAACCAAAAATAGAAACATAATTCGGAAGAATTTTATCTCAGGTTTGTTTATGGTTCTTGTATGTTTACAATCCTTCGTCCATTCAGTGAAATTTGGCACCGCCCATCTTTTGAAAGCCTTAAAATATACGAGTGGAAGAAGGTACATTTTTCTTGTTTGGATGGTCACTTTATTTCAACGACATCTACCTTTACGTGAAAGGAGACAATTGTACCCACTGCGCTTAATATTGTTGTGTAGAAAAAGTTGTAAGAATTAATTGGCCTTTCCCATTATTAACAAACCCACTGTTGTGTTTAAGGTCTTATCCGGTGTGACGTTAAGTGACTAATAAATGAACAAATAAAACCGACAAATGAATGCATATAGCAGGTTAGGGGGAAACGTAAATTCCGCTATAATAGTGGTATTTCACTATTATAGTGAAATTACGCTATATTTTCCACCGTGGATACCCTCAATTTCATCTGATACCATGCAAGGCGTTTGAACCGCACGTCATGGTTGGTATTAAAATGAAAAAAAAATGTCATGCTTGCATGTTTTGAATTTTAAAAAATTTTCTACCGTTGCGTTTAATAACGCGAGCACTCTTTTTTTAACGGAAGTTGCATTTTTAACATAGCAACCGATGATAGCAGGGGTATTCAAGCCTGTTTGAATCTCACTTATTGCTCATTAATGTGCACAAATTGATGCTTGTTGCAATTGTCAACTTGCACTGAAAAGGGATTATGGAATTAAACAAGAAAAAAAGATTATTTCTGTCTGCATGGTTACGGGTATGGAGGCTCGTTATGGTAAACGAAAAGACACATTATGGCAAACAAAAAAAAAAGAGTATATTGATAAACTCGATTTCTATCTTCTTAACAAAATCTGTTTATAATCTGTTTATAATAAATAATCCAAAAATTGCTTATATATATAATAAACGATCCTAAAAAATACATCAATTTTTAAATTTTGGCTGGTTAATTGTTTATTTCAGAAAAAAGACTCAATTTATTTTGGTGTCGGGAATATTTGACAAGAGTGCCTGTAACCTTATTTTTACACATGTTCAAATAATTATGATTTATCAATCTTTCTAACTACGCACAAATTATCTTATTTAATAAATTTATTTACTTAATGGTTATGCACTTAGGCAAGAATGATTTAACTTTAAAATCTGAGAGAAATAGCTATACGCGGGTATGTTAAGGAAGCATATAAGTAATTTCTTGGGAAATTCAGACTTTTTGAAGAAAATTTAGTTTAATAAATAACCAAAACAACTGATAAACGTAATCTGTTATTTACTATTGCATACAGATACACTGTAAAAGCGTGTCTAACGCAAGGATGTGCACTACCGCCACGGCATCACGTGACTTCTATTAATAGCAAAATTTTCCTTAATAAAAAGGCTTAGAGAACAACAATACCCCGGAGTTTGATAATTTCTTTGAGTATGTAATATAGCTGAAAAAAATCTATTTTGTCTAAAAAGTGCTGCTAGAATCCCACTATCTTGCCCATAAAATATTTATTCCACACATTCGCACGAAACCTTACCCTTTGTCTTGAATTTTATACATATAAATCGAGATTTTTCGTACAACCATGCTTAACTCGGGATTCTAGCAGCACTTTCCAAGTTTGTCAAAACGCAAACTTTCAACCTGTACAAATCGTATGTTTTGAAATATCCAGCTTATTGTTGTTCTGTTGCATTTTTTGGTCAAGAATAACTGACGATAGGCCGACTGGGATACGTAATATAGCTGATTGTCTCCGAAAGAGAATATAATCGATGGAAATAAATTAGCATACCTGTTTAATTAATTGAACTCCATATGAATTTAACACAATATTTCCGATATTTCCTTTTAAACTCCATTTTACGTATCTCTAAACATGCCGTCTTAGCCAAATTCTCTTTACACATCATGATCAATTTCCAAGTTACTTGATGTACACATATGACGTCATCGGTGGTAGATTTCAATCATAATGACTGTTACAGCATAACAAAATAAAAACATTTTATTTTTGTTAATGTTTACACGTTTCTAATAATTTTTTAGAGTAAAATTACATCGCTAAATACCAATATTAAGAAAACCTAATTTCTAAAATTGACGTCATCTTGCCTACTATGACGTCATAATGCAGCACTGATTTAGCCAAGGTTGAATATTTTGTATGCTTCCTTATTCCCCCTGCGTAGTTTTTTTTTCTTGTTCATATCTAATTATATTCATGTGAAATGAAAGTATATAGCAAAAAATCACTGTGCACTAAAAGTATTAATTTTTCATAGTTTTAGATTTATGCCATTGTATTATTGTTTAAACGACAAGGAAACTTCAAATAACCAATCACCACTGCTCAATATTCAGCATAAGAAGAGTCTAAAATATCTTTGACTCAATTCATATTTTCCATAATTAAAAACTGATGTAAAGCATCAAATCGGCAGCAAACAATTCACAATTTTGATAGTATATTTATGCAATGGAAGTACAAGATATTCAAAACTGAACTAGAATCTTGAGAAGCGTGTATTTTTATTTTCATTTAATTCTTTTATCATTGACTTCATTGGCATCAGAACCGGGGGGGGGGAGGGATTTACCTTTTTTGTTGGTTTAGCCCCACCTCCTCCTTTTAATTTGTCTCAGACTCCTGTGGACTTTATTACATCGATTAATCCATTTGATGAGGAAATTCACTAAAATATCTATGTACTTACCTATTTTTTAGTAAATATTTATTTATATTGCTTTGAAGACAGTCTGAAATAAAAATGACCGAACCACGTGCACCCTAGATCTTGATCACGTGATAATTCCTATGGTTTCTGCAGAATAGGCCATAATGCGACCGGAAAATCAAAATTTTCTTTTATATCTATATAGTACCTTTTGTAAACTCTTTTTATCTAGTCAAAAATTATCAAATATCTTGATGAGAAATGACAATTAAATTGATTGATTGATTGATTGATTGATTGTATACTGTTTAACGTCCCTCTCCAGAATATTTCACTGATATGGAGACGTCACCATTGCGGGTGAAGGGCTGCAAATTTGGGCCTTTGCTCGGCACTCAGGGCCATTGAGCAGGGAGGGATCTTTATCGTGCCACACCTGCTGTGACACGCAGCCTCGGTTTATAAGGTCTCATCCGAAGGACCGCCCCATTTAGTCGCCTTTTACGACAAGCAAGGGGGTACTGAGAACCTATTCAGACCCGGATCCTCACGGGAAGACAATGAAATTGAAACATTACTCATGTAACAATAATATTTTTATTTTGTTTATTAAGCATTTTATAAATATATTTTACTTATGATTTTCTACATGTTTAGATGTTATCAGTGAAGAATTATTATAATGAACTATTACAAAAATAACTTCTCATTTCCCATGTTCACTATCTAACACAACCATGTACAAAAAGATCGGCCGCAGCAGCGGTCGATAATAATGGGTCTTTTCGTTTACCATAACGAGCCTCCATACCCGTAACCATGCAGACAGAAAATTTAATAATCATTTTCTTGTCTGTGCAAGTTGACAATTTCAGTGCAAGTTGACAATTGTAACAAGCATTAATTTGTGCACATTAATGAGCAATAAGTGAGATTCAAACAGGCTTAAATATCCCCGCAATCATCGGTTGCTATGTTAAAAATGCAACTTCCGTTAAAAAAAGAGTGCTCGCATTATTAAACGCAACGGTAGAAAATTTATTAAAATTCAAAACATGAAAGCATGACAGTTTTTGTTCATTTCAATACCCTCCATGACGTGCGGTTCAAACGCCTTGCATGGTATCAGATGAAATTGAGGGTATCCACGACTGGAAATATAGCGTAATTTCACTAAAATAGTGAAATACCACTACGATAGCGGAATTTACGTTTCCCCCCAACCTGTATAATGTATTGATAACTTTTCCGAAATTATCTTTTGGTTTGGTAGCACATTCATGGTGGGAAAATCCTCGTTTATGTCTTTATTTCGTCCACATCTATTTTCTCAGTTAAGTTTATTGTAGCAGCATTCTCTGATTGTAAATTGTCCACAGCCCCTGATTTCAAAGAATCGTCTATTGCATCATCAACTAAATCAATGTAAGGGGGAACGTTAATGTAATCATTAGGTTTGTTTTCGCTATGCACTACATCTAAATATGTTCCATCTGCATTGTTAGGATCTATATATGACCCATCTTTGTCTGTTAAAGTATTTTCTCCTGGTTCGGGCAAATGTTCGTAATCCTCATTTTCTTCCTCTATTATTTCATAGTCGGGATTGGAATACGGACTCTCTGGGTAGGTTAAATTTTTTTCGTATAGAGTGTCCTTTGATTTTGGAATACTTGGGAGGCGCATCAATTCTTGTCGTCTTTTTCTCAATGTTATTGCTCTATATGATTTTGAAAAAAAATCATGTTAATATATTTTCTGGATTACGAAACATGAGTACAATCATAATCAATATTCTAATAAATATATTAGTACTATGTACTTAGATACAAACTTATGCGTCACAGTGATAAAGACTTTAATAGATTTTTTACAAATTTTCAGAACGTTCCACTTTCAAATGTAACATATGCTCTCATTAATAGTAATTTTTACCTCACTTAATCAATAAACAATTTGTTTAAATTTATAAAATAAATATATGGAAAATAAGAAGGATATTAAATATCAAAGTCCATTAAACTATAAATACGGATCACTGACACATCGGAATTGGATCAGGTACCATAAGGATTGCGAAATAATGATACATGTAATTTATTGACAATGTACATATATGGGTGTATAATATATAATTTTATGATTAATGGCCTAAATAATTACAATGAAAAAGTTCAATCGGCTTCATGACTTAATGATAGATTAAACTAGCATTTGCTGACAAAGTCATTGTATCGAACATAGAAATTACAAAATAATGAATTTAAACGAGACCGTTAATTTTTGTTTCATCAAAATATCTGTCTCTAAATTATATCGTTTTAAAAATTGTAGAGCATGTCTTGTGCATTGGATCAATTGAGAGATACCACGGAGTCTGACACATTCGTTTCATACTTGGATATTTTACTTGAAAAAGACTTTAATGGTAATCTAACAATCAAGCTCTATGATTAACATGATGACTTTAATTTTTGTATCGTTACCTTCCTTTACTTAAGCAGCAATAAACCTTCATCACCTGCATACGGAGTATATATTTCTCAGTTCATTCGATACGCAAGAGCATGCTCTATAAATGAAAAATTTCTAAAACGAGGTAAATTATTGACATCAAAGTTGATGAAACAAGAATATCAGCAGTCTCGCTCTGTATTGTTTTATTGACTTTGATATTGAAAACTGTTCGTTATATCCATATCCCCCACGAACCCTTTGCGCAGATTATAAGGATATATTGCTAGGTAGAAGTGTGATTAGTTGAATTTTTAATCGATTAAGTTATCACGTATATCTTTAAGCTTTGTTGTTTGCTTACCATAAACGTAATTTTCTAGTAAAATGTTCATAAAGGATTTGGAGATAACGAATGGTATTCAATATCAAAGTCCATAAAACAAAACAAAATTGGAGCAGAACAAACACAAACTCCCAAAACATCAGAGGTGGGATCAGGTGCCCTGGAGGAATTAACATCCCCTGCCGACCGGGCACATCCACCGTGTACTCCTTGTCATTAAAAACATATGTGTAAGAATATGTAGTCTCTTTAATTTCAAGCTCATAGTGATAAATCTAGTTTATATATGAATGTAAAAAAAGCAATTGTTATTCTATTTTTTCGTTCCTATGTTACACCCGGGAATTAGAAAAATTATGTAAAGAAAATAAAATAAAAATAAGAGTTCCATGTGATGTCAACATATACCCTGAATCTCTTAGCTTTAATTCTAACTCCCAGGACCATGTCTTATTTACCTTTTATTTCAATAGAATATATTGGGACAATATTGTGATCCAAAATCTACTTTTAAGAGAGTTTTTATACACTCAGAGTTATATTTGCACTATTCTCTAAAAGTAACATTGGCGCTTCTTGTCAACAAATTTGAATTCTCATTATAAGAGAAAAGCTTCTTCAACCCAAATTTGGTTGAAATTTGTCCAGTTTCAAAAACAAAATTAGAAAAATTTGCACAACAACAACGACAACAGAAAACTGACAGATTTTCTCAAATAAGTTCACTTGAGCGTGCAGCCAGGGATAAAAGAAGCTTGTAGTCTATAAGTCCAGAAAATTGAGGAAGCGTAAAGGTTTCACAAGCATTTTAAGCAAATGTTGAAGGGAAAATCAAGAACACAGACCTTATTTTGTATATGCTGATTGCAAAACTGATAGCAAATATTAGTGCAACCGCAAATCCAACCGCAACTACAACAAACATGAATTCAAACAACATGATTATGTAAGATTATTATACCGCTACTGATTTTTTTTCTTTGCTTTATAAGAACAAGGCAGTAAAATGTGAATAATTTCCTTGAAATCACTGTGAATAGACTAAACCGTGTGCATTAGTCATATAAGGTAGTCCCTGCTTTGGAAGCTAATTCCCGGTTATCTATAATTCTCTCTATTTTACTTTTCTATTGATATTATACAATTATGAACGTCAGTGTAGATCGATATGTGATTATTAGGACTCATATGGCAATTGATATTGACCGAATACACAGAAAGTGATAGCGACCGAGCCTGCGAGGTCACTATCATTTTCTGTGTCTGAGATCAATATCAATTGCCATGGGTCCTTATAATAACATATTGACCTTTCACTGAAGTCCATAATAGTAATATTATATAATCACACAAAGTGAATGCATTGACACAGTCCTAACTGAACGGACGTGGCTGTCATTACGTCACAATGGTTAAGAACACGCTTCTTATATTATGACGTCACGTTTTACGTACCTTCAGTGCAACTGAACAGCGTGACGTGCAATATCATTTTCGCGTCGCTATCGCAAAAGGAGGAATATCTCGTGACGTACTTTCAGCCAATGAAAACAATAAAAATAATCTCCTTATATAATATAACATGTTAATGGACTAACTAATGCGTTAGTCAATCGAGCTTATCCCCGCTCTGAAAGCGAATTCCCTGTCTTTCCAAATTCTCTATTTTTTACTTTCTTATCGGTAAATCAAAACAGTAACATGTAAAAAGTATATCATTGAGGGATTAAGCAAGATTCTAGTTCCCCTCGAACAGGTTTATTTCCCTCGGCTGCGCATTGAGAAATATTCCTGGTCTTTGGGAAGTGGAATTTTGCAAATTATCAATGATATACTTTTGCTGTATAATAGTATGATGTAAATTAAATGTTCAACATTGCTCTTAGCAAATATGTAATTCTTTCCTTCATTTGTTTATTGATTGATTGTATATTGTTAAACGTCCCTCTCGAGAATTTTTCAGTGATATGGTGGTGGAGAGCTGTAAAGTTTGCCCTATACACGGCAGTGTCATTGGGCAGGGAGCTAGGGATCTTTTAAGTGCCAGCACCTACTGTTACACTGGCCCTCTTTTTATACAGTCTCGTCCGAAAGACTGGTCTCTATGTCCCACGGTAAGATGTAAGGATCGACTCCTTATTTGTGACTATCAAGCAGACACTTTAACCTCTGTGCCACAAGGGTGACCTTTCACATGTTTAAATCTCTTACAAAATTTCCTCTTTATAATATTTTCACAACTAAAAAATATTGCAAACGACGAAATTTAATAATATGAAATTCTTTGAAATAATATTACAGTTAGAAAATTTCAATGCGAGAGATCACAAGCTTATCTTTCACCCTGAAAATAAATTAAAAATGAGAACTTTTTTTGTTTGCTTTTAATTGCTAAATTTATAGACAATTAATTCTTTTTAATAAGCTTATCTATAAATCTTTATGTTAAAAGACAGTACAGACTAATCATTTTCAACTTACGAAAAGTTGCTGTTTGGGAAAAGTCGGTGTTTGTTTCTTTATTCCCTGAAGGCATTTTAATATCTAGATAAAAAAGATTACCAAAAATATCATTGGGTTAGAGAACAGTGACTGTCCTCATATGTCACTGTTGTTGTATAAAAGTATGCTCTTAAAATTAACAAAGACTAAAATTTAAATATATAGATATTTTCAAATTAAAGGACATATACACATTTTGTTAAAAAAATTTAGATTTTAAAAATTGTATTAACAAACTATTATTTGCATTATCTTTAATTTGCAATTATCAGTGGAATATTGTTTTATTCCGCTGTGGTCTTATTTCTGCGTCATCATGACAACCATACAATAAACATACATCGTATTAATGTAGGATTATCATAGTTCAATGGTTTACCTGTTACATTTTCAAAAGGTGCAGGAAATTCAGAATAAAAATATTTGAGACCTGAAAATGTAAGACAGAACCGTTTTAAATTTAGATATGAAGTGAACAATTAGAAAATATAGAAGACAAAAGTCTAATGAAATTTACAATAAAGTGTTCGTATAGCACACATTGATGTCTGAGAACATGATGTCACAAACAATCCTGTCGACGAATTAATATTGCAGTTTGTTTTTATCATGATGGAAGGCACTGTAGCCAATTCAGTATAAATATAATTTATATGGCCTAGCAAATTGAATGACAAAGATGTATCAGTTTTTCTTCTTGAGCCAGACTGCAGCGATATGTATCAACCCTAGCTAGTCAAATCTGAATATGACTTTAAATGATATTGTAAATACCTTCATATAATCAGCCTGTTTGTCATAGTTCCATCTCATTTTAGAAATTCTCCTTACGAAGAACATGCCCTTGGTACTGTAGCAACTTTAGATATACATGCAACCCCAAATGAAGACAAAAGACAATGTGACATCGAGGTATTTATAAACTTTGCTTTTTTTTTTAATCAATAATTTTCCCTAGTAAAATATTCACATATGAGCAAACGTGGCAGACACTAGGTTGGATTTCATTTCAAGCTAATGGCCATGGAATGTTGCGAACAAAAAGTCATTGTCTCGAAGAATACTTACAAAAACTTGCATTTTCTTGGAGCTGTTCAGGCAGAAGGGGTATAAATCTTTTGGCCATACTTAACATATCTCTGACGAGACAAGTGGAGTTCGTTTTGTCACTGTCTTCCAATTTTGATATAACACAATGTCCAATACGCTGTTTCATTCTAATTTCAAATTAGAGAACGGATTAATTTCAAACTTGGTATCATTTTCATATTTTTGTTCATACATTAAATCAAAGTGATTAAAAAAAATTAGTCTCCTATTTAAAACAAAGACGCAAAAGAAAATTTTTCAAGAAATACTATTTTAACAAAACATAATTCAAAAATAAGTTTAAATTTTTAATGCGGTATTATTTGATATGTATCATTGATATTTAGATAAACCAACTCCAACAAAAATAATAAAGTTACACAATGAAACTTGCTTTGTTCATTTAAACATTTTAATTTTGTCATATTTAGATATATTGTGAATAAATACCGGCAAAGTGATGGTCCATCTGTTGTATTTCTGAAGAATTCTTGGTAACAAGGAATGGCAAAGTTAATCACCACAAATCACCTATAACACTTGGATCTCGACATGGTGAAAGAATGCCTGCAAAACAGACAATTACAATTATATTTTTGAATGAACACTCGAAGATGTTTAATTTTTTCAACATGGTCATGATTTTGTATGATAGAATGTCCTTTTTTCATTAAGAAATTTTAGGTAAATTTATTTGTATATACGGGGGGCGTTCAATAAATAATGGCATTAGCTCGATGACATACAACATAGAAGTCATATGATATTAAACTTGACTTTTTCTCATCATTGAATCTTAAATGAATTAATAAAAGTTTGTGTGACCACTTTTTATCGCATTATTTCATTGAGGGAAGCTAGAAAACAAGGGCTATTCGAGACACTGCATTAAAAATCAATGGTGAAGAGTCAGTAGACTAGAGTAAAATTAAACGCTTCATTAAAGCAGCTGTAAAACTTGTAGATATTCAAAAATATATTAACTGGAGAATGTAAAATATACAGAAGCTAAAGTCTGTTTTATATACACGTGAACAACTGGTTTGCAATGAACAAAAATTATATAATGGGCATCAAAAATGGGTATTCTTCTTCGCAACAAAATATCACTGATTATGTTTTACTGACTTTAAGACACATAACTAAATTGATAAAAATCCTTGTGGGGGTAGTTCACACTGTTTTTAAGAAACATGTTATAGTAGAAAAAAGTTTAATACTCAAAGGTAACCCTATATTTTGAAAAGTGAGTGAAAATGACAGCGTGTAAGAATATTCGAACAATTTTTTGAAAAGATAAAAATTGTACTTATCCAGGTTTGTATGAAATTCTTACAGATATGTTTCGGGGGAAAATAACTCGCGGTGTTAATATTCACTATATTCACGGTGATGATAAATCCGTGAATTCAAGACACGGTGAATATTTTTTCAATATCTTCATGTTTTATTTGGAAATTTGAGAAGACTTTGATAGGTTTAAATACTTGTACAACAGTACATGGTTATTTCAGTAATTACGAGTAGTACTTCATCCAATTATTTTATTTAGCAAGCTTTACATTAATTCAAGTCAACAGATGATAACCTGTATTTGTATTAAGGCTTTTTAATCGCCAACGCTACATGTTTCATCAATTAGAACATGAGGGACATGAGTTTTGATAATCCGTGCGTAACTAATATTACCATGCACGGTGTGTGCATTAACTGTATTATCATGCATATTATAGCTTTTATCGACATTTTGATTTTACAAAACATTCAAATAACTATCGAACTTACTAGAGATTTGGAAGGATATTATTTCGTCGACCTACATTAACACATTTATTACCGTCCATTGGCTTTTCGCCGCGATGTATTGAAGATCTTGGGGTGTACATGCCCTCATCGTAATAGAAAGTTAACCTTTATAGTCAAGGACTTTTGATAACTGCACCTGTTTAATTAATCGTCAATTATTTATTAAGTCTAACTATTTTATATTAATCTACCCTGTTGTTCGTGAAATAAAGACATAACAATGATGAATGTCGTTTACATGTAGCTATGGATTAAACGGATATAGACAAGGGAGGTAACTTCTATAACATAAGAATTCTGCGAATTCAAGAAACCGCGATCGTGTCCGATGAGAAAAAACCGTGAAAATTACAAACCGTGAAATTAATCCCCTAAACAGTAATGAAACTTGAATCCATTTTGCTATAAGCCCTCAAAAAAATTTACGATGAGATACACTTGACAAAAACAGCAAAGGCCTAAGAAGAGCAAAGAATTGCAAGAGCATAAAACAGTTTTATATGCTATTTTCATTGTTGGTCGTGTTGTTCAAATTCATATTCGGGGAGGAAGTTTAATTTCTAGAGAAGTCTAGAAAACATTTTTTTGCAATAAAATTGAAAGGTTTATGAGAGTAATGAAACTTAATATGTAAATTTTTTCATGACAGCGTCCAAACCCACAGGCCATGAAGAGTAAAGGCGTTCTGGGGATAAACAGAAAGTTAATGCTTTGTCACACCAACAAAATTTGCCAGATCTCTCAACCTTTGACTTGTTTCATTTCCCAAAATTAGCAAAACATCTATCAGGAAGAAAAAACAAGTACAGCAAATCATAGGATCTGCCATATTCCAGTATACGAAGGGTCATCCTCAAATATGTGTTCGAAAAACAATTAGAAATTGAATGAAAACGTTACGGACATGTTTTAATTAAACGAGAATATTTTAGTTAAATCATTTAGACTAAGTCTTAAGGCCCTTTCACAATTGGCGCATGAGCACTTTACAACACTTTGCGATCGGAAAATTTTAGCTTCGCACGAGCTCTCGCATACGTTGCACGATGTCTCGCATTCATTGCATGTGTTTTAGTGGTCGCATCAAGTCTCTTCCAAATAGTCAACATGCACACTATTCAGACGCGACCAAATGCGATCCAAATTATCGCAATTCAATGCACGAAAGTTAGTGCGAACGTCTTACAACGTTTTATGTACTCGTAAGAGTGATGTACGATTTATAGAGATCGTAAGATGAATCACAGCCGTCTTTGCGTGTGTTTTGCGACCATGAGACTGTTGCTCAACATGTCTCATGTAATCTTACAACGTGTTACTATCATTGCTTGATTTATCACATTCAATTGCCATTCTTTGCAACAGGTATATATACCATGTATATTTATGAGCATCTTATCTATGTCAACTGAAGAGCGTCGGAAACGGGTGGTATATATAACCGGCCCTCTGAGTCGTACGAACATTCGTACTATGGAATGCATGAGCGCACAAGCACCGCAGGTCCAATCGTATTGTCGCACGTTCAATCGTCCGATTACATGATCAGTCGTGCAATCCTATGGCATTATCTTACAACACTCGCTTTCATTCTACAACAGTCGCGTATAGACGCAAGATATATCCCAAGATTTAATGCACAACAGTCGCTTTAAATCGTGCGCATTTCGTACGAACACTTTTTTCATATGCGATTATTTTGGCAACAGTTTACGATCTTAGACAAAATTATTCGGTCGCACGAATATTTTGTCGCTTCTGCTCGTGCGCCAATTGTGAAAGGGTCTTTAGAAAAGCGTTTTTTTTTTGTTTCTTTCCGAGCCCTTATGACATTATTTATTAAACGCCCTTCGTAGTTACTGTAATACTTATTTAAGTAATATCTTATACACAAAGTTTAAAGTGAGATATCAGGATATTGTTCAACTTTCTTTCATATTCAAATCCATCATGGTGGATTGGAGCGTCTGCTCTATAGTCGAGAGGTGAGGAGTTGATCCTAATGTCGCAGGTTCGAATTTCAGTGTGGGGCGTGGATACCGGTTCTTCGGATGAGACCGTATAAACCGAGGCCCCGTATCGCAGTTAGTGCTGTCACGATAAAGATCCCTCCCTGCTCAATGGCACTGAGTGCCGAGCATAGGATAGAATTTGCAGCTCTCCACTGGCAGGTGGTGGCGTCTCCATAATGGGTGAAAAATTCTCTAGAGGGACAGTAAACAACATATCATCAATCAATCAATCAAATATCCCTCATTCTACTATCTCTCCTTAAAATCCATTACATATTTTTTTTTTCAATTTAAAGATCATCTTTGAAAAACTTTGAGGAAAAAAAATGACTATAGATTTTAATTTCACTTATATTGACATTGATTTTTCTTTTATCTTTTTATCGATATCAACTACTGTTTAAGTTGTCTTTCAGAAATGACCATTCCTTATAAATTGCTTTTAGAAAAAAAAAATAGTAAAGTTTTTAACTTACAGTGAGAGATGGACTTCCCTGTTAAATCTTCTAAAGTGTCCTTTATTTGCAGAGCAATTGATCGCCATGTAATCAGGGAACAATAAGAACCAGTGGAATTTTCATTATTCTTCTTTAAACATGAGACCAGGTTTAATATATTGCTGAGAAAAATGTGCAGGGCATTTATGAAATGTTAAAAAGCTGTTCGTGTAGTAAACAGGAAATAATATTGGCATAATTAAACTTTTGCTAAAGAAATTTTATTATTATTCTTTCAAAAAAATCAAAACACATATTAATTTTAATCATCATCCACTGGTTGATATTTTTTTTCTTTTAATGCACATACTCAGACCTTATTACCTACAGACGTTATAAAAATTGAATGATTTATCTAAATAAAAGATTTCAATGGCAAATGTTACTACGTACAGTTCTTTTACTTTGATCTATTTTTTTTATTTAATTATGCCTCAATGTTAAATATACATCCTTCTGTATATGTTAATGACGAAACGTTAATATTTTATTGTTAATATACAAAGCGCTTACCTACAATATTCACTATCACTTGGAATATCAGAAACAGAAACTGGCTCTTTATTTCTTTTGTATAGAAAAACTGGTTAAGACACGGAGTTACTAAAAAAATATTTAAAAGATAAATATTCTTAGGCTTCCAAACTTAAGTAACATTCAAATAGCTTTTTTTTACATCCTAATAGAAATAAACTGACCACACACTTCCACGCCACAGAGTTCCCAGCGGACATCCGTGTCATTGGTAAAGCACCATGGCTCCTCTCTATCGAAGTTCCGACAGTAGTTCTCTTTTGAAAGGCTAAACACATCATAGCCGTGTTCGTGTTGAGTCTGGACATACAGTACAGGCCACGAGTTTTCCGCAACGCTCGGTGGAAAAAACACCGTGTGAAACGCTCTGTGTTACACCGTGTACACGGTGTAGCACGGTGTGTGTGAATTTGAAATATACAGGTAGGCACATCGTGCCGCACCGTGTGTAGAAAAATCTCAGCTATTGCCCTCCGTGTTGCACCGTGTCCAGTAAATTTCGTTCCGTTGCATGTCCAGAAAAATTCTCCTCCAAGCTGCACCGTGTAAATAGTATTACAGACAAAATCGTTTGTTTCTGATGGAAAATTTGATAATTAATTTTGATGACAATTTATAACTTTGGTTATGTATATATAAAAATCGTTTTTATTCTACCAGATATTGGACTTCGAATGGCACGCATGATATTGAGATTAGATATCGGTAAAAAAAATTTAAATGATTTTCTTTTGAATTAACTGTGTGTCTAGAAAAAATTATCCATCCACGTCACAAAACTTACAGTACTAGTGTACGATCAAAGCATTATTATGTATATACCCTATTAAAATACATTTATTTTGTTCATCTTGAATTATTCTGAATGTGAATGCCAAAGTTGTCAACAGAAACACGAAATTAATGCAATAATTTCAAAGTGTATTTCTCGTAACAGCAAACATTATTTTCATAGAGTAGTATTCAATACGTTATGTTTCTAAAATCCTTTCAGTGTAAGTAGTTATTTTAATTTGTTTGTCTTTTCTTGTAAAGCGTATAAAAAGCTATACCAGAGAGAGAGAGAGAGAGAGAGAGAGAGAGAGAGAGAGAGAGAGTCTCATACAACCCCCTTTTAACATATTGTCTGTAATTTTTTTTTAATTCTTCGTTTTATTTAAGTTACGGAGGTCACAATTAATCATTCTATAATTCTATTTTATTGCCACAACTTTTGTTTATATTCGACCCATTTAATGCAATTAATTCTTTCTCTGTATATGCTGTACGCACAAAATTCTCGTGCATCACCTGCCAATCAAAATCCCATGACGCTAGGTGACCTTGAAAGTCTGTTTACGCGGAAAGAATTTCTCTTGTGATTTGAAGCAATCTTATGGTCAGTTCCGAGTTCACACCTGTTCAAAAATATATTGGGTCTCTGCCGGTGGGCCAGGGGCGCCGTATGTTTATCACACCTTTCAAATTCTTTAGCTCTGACCACAGCATGTGTATACATTTAACACAGTCAAGTGATATGCGAAATTCATCTTCCAGGTTTCACTACAACAACAATTATAAACTTACATGTATTTGTTAATTTATTTATCCTTTTTCAGACACAAATAAGAATGTATCACGTAGATTAAGATTAAAAAAAAACATAACATAAATTTGCAGACTTCTCGATGAAGTTTTAACCAGCTGATTCGTATCGTTTTTTTTTAAGAAGGGGGGGGGGTAAAAATCGCTAAATATCTATATGTTTTCTCAAACCGTTTTTTTTCTTTTCACACGATATATTTAAGAATGAAGTAATATTCGCACTGAAGTTAGCACATTTCATTTGCCAAAAATTCGGCTGTGATTTTTGTATCCAGCGTGTTTACTAAGTTTATCACTATTTTAATTAATGAAATTATTCAGATTATTATCTCTGCCTGTTCAGTGGATTTTCGAGTTTACCGCATTTAATATTTATCTCCATATTTTACATAATTACAGATTTTTAGTGTTAGTCTAACTGCAATAATCCTCATCTGAACCTGTCCAATGATTCGCCGAGTATCGGTATCGGTATCAAAGAGGAGAATTAATGTGCGAGTCTGATATCTTTTTTTTAATTTAATCTACACACAGTAAATGTACATTTAATTTCTTACAAAATTATTAGTTCACTTATTATCATCACGCATATGATATGTAAAGCGTAGGGAAAAACGATCTTGTATCAACGATTTAATTGAACACAGTTAAAATCAAAATCAAGTAATTCATTTATGAAAGCGTGTTTCCTCTTAATGTAATATAATAATAGTCTATTGAACTTTTTATGACTAATATAATTAGTATTTAACTAGAAAAGTGACTGTATATTTTTTTTGCCGGACACGAGTACGTTGTTATTAAGTTTTAAGGCATCTTATTAGTTTAATTATCTGTATGCGATAAATTATCAATATTGATTTATGGAAAAAGTACAACAAATATTTCGAAAGAAAGTTGATTTAATTTCATTAAATAAAGGCAATGAGAATGTTTAAAAGATTCATCATCAGAACTGTGACACACCGTGTTACACGGTGCACAGAAACGCTGACTTCAAAGATGCCGACAAGGTTCGAGGTCCACGCTAATGCATGGGCTTGCGGTCCACGGGGCCCCGTGTTTTTTGCGGAAAACTCGTGGCCTGTACTGTACCATCTTTGACATGCTCTACTACTTTCTGTTTCATTTTTCGTTCCTTGATATAAAACTCCAGGCAATCGACAGTCAGGTGAGATAGATCCTGCATTAACTGTTTTTAAAAAGAATATTAGGGGAAACGGCCTCTTTTAATTGTAAATGACCGTATTGTTTTTAAAATCCCTCGTATTCAAAGTTACTAGTATATAATGCCAGAATAATACATACATCTTCAAATTTTCTTCAAGCTTATTTTGACAAACTTCTTTCTATATCCTAAAAATTACACTTTTTGTATTATTTTCTGATGTGGTTGTGGTTTGAAGTGCCGCATGTACATTTAGGAAATTGACACAGACCACAAAATGGTATGATTGATGAAGACTCCTGGCGCAAGTATATATTGTATACACCTATTTTTCCCATGTACTGCCTGCTACTTATTGTTTTTTAACCACAATGTGCTCTAAATTTCAGCAGAGAGGTTATTATGCCCAGATTTTTATTCAAGCTAGTGAAACATATAGAATAATATATCAAATAAAAGTCATAGGACTTTCCTTTGTTTATGATTCATAAACATAGTCATTAAACATCGGGCTTAGGTTGAGCGCCCCCTTTCAATTTTCAATAGTTACAGTTTGCAGTGGAAACCCTACCCCATCACCACAAATGCCAAAAGCCCCGCCTTTTCTTTAGATCCCAAAAGTATCAGTTATGATGCTTTACTTATTAATAAAAAATATATATAGATATTTCAAGGAGACTTTGAGATTTTTGTACTTCTTGTCTGTATTTTCAGCTGGCCATTTTCAAATAAAATATGGTTTAAACGAAGTAGACCTTGGGCGATTATATTCAAAAGTAAAGGAGACAATTGCATGTTTTTTTTAATTCATCGAGAATTAGTTTTATTCTTTTTCTTTTAATCATTTAAAACCCAGATACCAAAAAGAAGACAAATCAGATGACAAATAAGTGACTGTAATACATATGACGGTAATAAATGCAATATTAATGAATATAATGTTTATCATCTACATCATTTTTCATAAATTACTTTTAATTGAAAAAATATTACTTGAAATATACATGTTATAACCGAAACTACTTCATCAACTGTATAAAATATTTGTATTTATAAATATGTTATGTTTTTTATTGAATAAGAACAAAACATTTCACAATCAACAATATCATATAGTAGTTGCCTTTTATACTAACAATATATAATACCTGTAAAGGAAAAGAGAAAGATTCCAGTAAGTAACCTAAAACTTATCATTTCAGTTACATGGTTAGTTAATCTCAGGAGGGAAATATATTGAAAAGCTGAAACCAGAAATTAGATCAGATTTAACTTCCTTTCTTTGTATACTGTATATAATAATGAGAAAAGGGGATGTTAATGATCTGTACGCATTTCCTATATGCAAGACTTTTTCCTGTAAAATGAATATTACTAATATATTTTTTAGTTTAAATCACTAGTCAGTTTCTTTGATTTTAAAGAGACTGTTTGTTAAATCAGTATGTAGGTCATAAACCTCGCTTGTTTTACGACAATATCCAAAGCTTAGAAAAGGTTTCACCTAAAAATGCGTGTCAAACACTAAGTCGCAATATATCATATCTAAGTTGAAACTAATCATTATTTGGCCTCATCCCAGCTATAATTTACATGATTGTATATAATATTGTATATTTATGTGTTTTTGTTCACTTTCGTCATATATCTGGTCAATAAATGACATTTTCACTCAACTCAAGTTCTCGTGTCTTCATTAGTTTTCAAGTAACAAGAACAAGCTACGGAAAGGCTTTTCATATTGTGAAAGTTACTTTTATTAGTGGAAAAGTTGTGGATATAAATGATATATTAGGATATTTAAAATACATGCAGTTCATATCATATCAAAAACTTTCAATTCAAACTATTTTGATTACTTCGCAG